CAAACATGTCAGATTTCTTCCCTATTCAAACAATATTATATTGTAGGTTTGCTGCTTCAGGGACAGGTAATAAAGAATATTTTTTTAGAGAGATGTTTGGTATATTATTCCACATCCGTTTTATTATTCTCCATAAGAATTTTAAATTTACATTGGTTTAGGAATTTAGTCCTCAACCCATGCACAACAGCGCTTCAATATACTAATTTGTCTGTTTTTAAGCTCTGCAAAATGGTTAAAAAAGCAATATTAAAATTTAACTTTTTGAGGGTCAAAAAGAGAAAAAACTAATAGGGTAGTCCGATCATGCTGGTTAGTTTGTACCAAATGTCATCACAATTGGATGATGTTTATCGTGCTAATTTATCGTGCTAACGGACAACACACAAAATTTATGAACCTGAACGGATGGTATTATTGGCCTTTAGGGACATCAAAATTAAAAAGTAAAGCGGTCCTGAGTCTAGGTTTTACCATGAGAGCTTCATATGGGAAATTTGATAAAAGGTGCACAAGAGAAATTGGAGAAGAGGTGGGAAGAGGAGAGGTCAATGACCAGTGTAATAATACATGAATTACTATTTGTTTCACATACATTTGGCTACTCATGGATTATTGATGGTAGTAGTAACTTAGAAATTTAAATCTGATTAGAAATCAATGCATGAGGCCAAAGGACCAACCTGCTACTTGGAAAGTCGTTCCCAATCTTTAAATTTCAAGACGGCCTTTACATTACTGTACCAGTATTTAATAAGTTTGCAATGTGTATGCTGATAAAAAAAAGTGTAAAATAAATTTAAACAGAAGGTCCAAGATTAAAAATTTAAGATGAATGAGGCACGGGTTTTATCTCCACGGCATATCCAAAAAGAATTTAGGACTTAAGACCACTTTCAAAAACATTTACGTTTCTTTCATACAAAATTCCACTGGCGTAGACACTAAAAAATTAATATGAAAATTTGTTAGGTGCTTTCTTGTTCCTCTGCAGTCGACTAATTTATTTATTTATTCAAACTAAATACACTTCCAAAACCAATGTTTGTAATTAAAATGGACCAGTTCAGTTGGTCTTTTACCATTTGGGGGATAAAACTTCTTTTGACCTCAAAGCAACCTAGGTAGAGTTTGAGTAGAACCTTTAATGATTTACTATTTAATAACTTGCTTATTACTTGTAACTAAATAATATTTACTATTTAATAACTTATTGTCAAATTTGTGATTTACTGAGGATAGTAACAAGACGAATAATTAAATAATTAGTGTTCAATAACAAAAATTAAATAACCAGACAATGTGAACTTAACAGTTAATATTAATAAGATGGTTTGAACTAATAAATACATCAATTTAAAATATTTGTTGTCTGCAAACCTCTGTGATGGCATCCTAAAAATAGATCTTTTCAACGAAAATAGATATCCATAAAAATTGAGAAGCTAAAACTACAGTATTAATAAAATTTTTGCATTTGAAATAATGTTCTTTAAAATGAGTTTATGTTCATTGCAATGAATTTACTTCATGGGGACAAACTAATACCTGGTTTCAGAAGGAGCTTCCTTCACAAATGAGTTGATTTTGCCTTTTGTCCTATTTCTACTGATTTGTGAGTATAAACAAATAAAATGATCAAGTCATACTTTACTTTTAATATCTTAAATATCAGCAAAACAAAGTTACTGAAAATTGTTTCCTGGTCTGCCTTAGTTTGATCTAAGCAATTGCAATAAATGCAGCAATTGACAAACTGCATTAAGACATATGACTTTAAGTAAGCCAGTAAGCTTTGTGTCAAGAATCAGTCATATGAGTCATGTATGAGATAAGACTATGTGAAGATAACTTACTCTGGTATCCATGTATACAATGGACACCATCTAATGTCAACATGTATGCCTACTGTGATGTCATTTTTATTTCATGTATGTATTTAGGCCTATTTATTTTTAGGGCAAGGAAGTAAAATGCTTTTACGCACACTCACTAAAAAACCCTATAATCTGTTGCAGTGTTGGGACTAGTAGCTTTGGTGCCACTGGAACTACATACACCATCATCATGCTATTTACTATCATCATGCTATTTAGTAGTAGAGCACTTTTTAAAGTTTCAATGCTTACAATTCTGTATTTTCAAAATGGATGTACATATCATGAAAACTTTCAAACTATCCACCTTCGTTACTCATGAGTACAGAACTCAAAAAGCAACTGGTCTGTGAGTCCCCAAAATCAATGGTTGCACAGATTAAGACTGCATTTCAAATGTTTTCTATGGTTGCCTGATGAGATAAAAACACATCATAATTAAAGTTCAGAACAGGGAACTGACTGCTTAGTTGTTAGAGATGAGTTCAACAGATATCACAGAGTTTCTTATCAGCAGAATATATTTATTGTGACCTTTTTGGACTGATTGGCAGTATTGGTACCCAATATACAAGAGCTTGAGGATTTTTAAATTTTATGACTAATTAACGGATTTTCAAAAGCTTACACAGCATACTTAACTACAAAGTTAGGAAAACAAAGGTAAAAAATATGATTTCCCAAAATAGCCACTGGCTGCTATAGACACTATAGAAATATTGTCAACATTACACTGGTTGTTAACTTGTTTTACTGTAAAGAAAACTTAGGAAATTTGAATCTCTTGGTAGCAGAATTATTGTAGTTTGTTCACAAAAATAATTTTTAAATAATTTCAATCATTTTGTTAGACAATTTTTTGTTGTTGTAGTGCTGTAGTGATAAAACTTGGACAGTCTCTAGCTTCCATTAAACTGTTACTGACTTTACTTACTGTCAGCTTTTACTTGAACCGGTATTAATTTTTTTAACATCATTGGTATCTTTTTGTCTTGACATTGTTTAATTACTTGCTAATGTAAACATTTTCCTAAACAACATCATTGATTGATAGTCCAATGAAGAATTATGTCTGTGTTCAGAATACAACCTGTTTAGGATCAGACCAGCAGCCTTCAGATTTAGAGGCGAGTACTATAACCACTTAGATAACAAGGTAATTTTGAACCATCAAAAGGCTAACTTCTTGCAGTAGCAAACCAAAGATTTTTTTATAGGTTGCTATACCATAGGTGACAACAATATTCTATCTAAACCAGTTTTGATTGTTTACCAAAAGGTAATTCATAAAACTAAATCCCAAATTGACTCTAAGATCAGCAGGGTTGTCACCCGTCCCGATTTTGGTTCCTTATGCCCGTATGTAGGCCTATGTTAATTCGGGGGGAGGGGGGCAATGTCCTGATTTTTGCCTAACCTAAGTTGGCAATCCTGATAATCAGTCACAACCCAGAGCATTAGAGATGTATTCTTCTTAAAGTCGCACATTGTGATGTGTGAGAGATGGCACTCACAGGACATTTTTACAGCCTCTTTGCACTAAGAGACCTCAATGAACAACATAGTAGTCATAATGATTTACAACATCATAGACCTCAATGAACAACGTAGTAGTAGTCATAATGATTTACAACATCATAGACCTCAATGAACAACGTAGTATTCATAATGATTTACAACATCATAGACCTCAATGAACAACGTAGTAGTCATAATGATTTATAACATCATAGACCTCAATGAACAACATAGTAGTCATAATGATTTACAACATCATAGACCTCAATGAACAACGTAGCAGACATAATGATTTACAACATCATAGACCTCAATGAACAACGTAGTAGTCATAATGATTTACAACATCATAGATGAAACATTCAGGTAGCAATAGAACAATCAAAACTATATAAATACTATATATAAACTCTTGCATAATATTTCTCTGTAACTACTCATGGAAAGAGTGAAACTAGGGAATCTTCATTGTGTAACTTATTTACCACACCTATATCTCCTGACCACAATACTTTTTCAAAATTAAAAACGCATTAAATTATCGTAAACTTTGTAAGAATTGAAAAAGCTTTAGTACAGCAGTATGATTTCGTAGAAGTTTTCAAATATTTTAAATGAACTGCCCAGAGCAAAACCTCCTCAGATAAGTCACAGAGAATTTCAAGCACACAAGCGTAGCTCACTTCTTTGTCTAACTGTTTTGACTCTGATTTCTTTGCATCATGTTCTTTCTATACTACCTACACTAGATCCTTTAGTACTCAGGCGTATCAAATAGCTTCTTCAGTCCACAAAAGATCTTCTATACCAAAACACATAAAAACTAGATAGAATTTTTACAGTTCAACAACACAAGTCATCTACTCAAGATCAAGATTTGACAACCTTAAAAACTGTTCAGGATGTAGGTCTCCTCGCCTGAGAAACAGCTTTTTTTCTTATATGCAGAAACTCCAAATGAAGGTGGGTCATGAAAACCAGCATCAACATTAGACTACTTTAGTTCAAAAGTAAAAAAACACCAAGTCATTGGTAATGGATGGAATATGAAACCCGAAGACAGATTCTGCACTGTTATCACCAAAACCACCAAAACCCAAAGATTCCAAACCAAACAGAAGCCATTTTGCTGAAGGCTGGCTAAAAGAACTTCAAGAAGATACATATCTGGTCTGAAATGTTCAAGATACACCTACAATAATGGTTTGTGTTGTTTTAGGTAAGTATATGAAACAATGATAAGGAAGTAATTTGCAATGGTAAACTTTTGGCAATAGTCAAATTCATGCGGATAAATTGTGTAGTCAAAAAAGCTGAATACATATATGCAATTCAAGTATAGTCTATAAAGCTGGCTGATTTATCCACTTTTCTCTGACCTATCAGTTTTATCAATACCTGATTATTTAGTTTCACTGATTGGCGTAAGATGACGCATCATTACATCTATGTTGGTTATTCTATGCTAATTTCTTATCATACCATTTGTAAGACTCATTAGATATGAAAGACTTTAGTAGAGCAGAGTCGATGTTGAAGACTACTTCATGATGATTTCCAGTGCCTGAAAATGTTGAGAACTTAGGTATAAATGATGGTTTTACCTTAATCATCCAGTTCCTCTTCATCGAACGAGAGTAGTTTCGAGTTGACAGGTTTGCTTTTCACCTTCTTCTTCTTGGGTTTATCATCTGTTCCTTCTTCAACTTCCCGCTTCTTTGGAGGCTTGAAAACAATCCGGTCGCCAAGCTGGGCTGGTTTATTGGCCTCTTCTGAAACAAAAAATAAAATGATGGAATTAAGTATTTGTTTGAATTTAAAATACGACGTTATGTTGTTATTAATGGTACACAGCATTGCAAGAAATGTCAATTTCAAGTTGACGAGTTCAATAATACATATAGTTTTCCAATCAACCATGAGACTATAAACAAGAATTTACTGGCACAAATTACAAATCCTATTCATCACAGTGCTGTGAAACCCATGAGCTGCATAAACGTAATTATAATCCTGTGTACTGTACGTAAAAAAAACAATTGGTTAAGGCTACATAAACATTGGAAATATAAACCGTAAAATGATCGAGTTTACTATCTGGTTCTACACAATTCGCTAGCGCCTTTTACCAATCAATACTTGTACTGTATATTCGAGAGGTCCATTGTAAGTTGACCATTCGGAAATTCGATAACTGTTACAAGTGTGATATACTTAAGATAACGTTTGAATGGCATTCACGACTTGTATTTGTAATTCGAATTAATTTAGTTCCTCCCATACATTTATTTCCGGTTGAAGGTTTTCAGTTTCTCGTCCAAAAATAAACTCGCTTGACACAACGCCGACTTTAACAAAGTCAAATTGGAATTGAGAGATTTCAAGTAAGTTTTCACAGAGAAAGTTTGCACGAGTGTCAAGGTCAATAAATTATGGATTACAACAACACCAATTGTGTAAATTATATTTAATTTTACTCAACGCTTTCCTCCGGTAAACACCGGAATAGAATGTTGCAGATTTTCAATTCGTCTATTTTTACCCAGTCTCCTAACCATGACCTTACGAAATGAAAACAATACCCGGCCTACCCCAACATCAACGGTAAAATATTACTAGACTATTTACTTTTAAAATCCACGAAAAGTTGATGCGTGACGTACTATACCACTCTAACGCTCAAAGGAAAAGAAAGAAGCGAAGCAAAGCTGAGCTAAGTGAGCGAAAGAGACATGGGCGAAACCATTATTGGGTGTGGAAAGTAGGAAAACGCAAGGCGACTCCCCTTCGAACCGAGAATGGGAATGGCCCGAACTTCGCTGCAGTGTGCGTCATAGAAGCGGCGAGCTTCGGGAAGCTCGGGGATGGTACGGGAGCTTCCCGCCAGGCAGCGGTAATATCGCTCAGGGGGAAATTCAGTGCTGTTAAGTTGCCAGCCTGCCCCGGCCGGCAATAACAATATAATTCAGGCACCGATGGGTTGGGAGGGGGGGGGTCCATAATGACAGTTGTAAAATTGTATAACATTTTTGTAATTATTATAAAAATGTACCTAATATTTTTTGTATTTTAATTACAGCTTAATTATGAAAAATTAATTAACTTACACTATATACAATGATGTAACTTAGTTATATTTATTGAACTTGCAGGTACGAGATAAGGTAGTAAGAAAAGTACAAATGGATTTGGACTAATTAAACGTGAAATATTTAAATGAATGAATCAAGATTTAATATTTAGAATTTGGTCAAGTGATATGTTGATAAAACATAAGTAATAAGATTAGCGATTCATCAACAAGTTGTAACGAATACATCGTGCATTTCATCTCACGTGGATTGTAGGAGATTTAGTGAGCAAGTAGTAAAGAATCATTGATTTAGTTTTGTCCAAGCTCTTCGATATGTGCAGGTTTTAATAATAGTATGAATTCTAACACCAAATTTAGAAACGAAATAAATGCGTGCAAATGTATCACAAGGTAGACAGTAACGGCGGCGGCTTGTTCCAATTGTATTTGAGTCGATTTTTAAGGAATTCGGGATGCGAATAGCAAAAGAATCTTGTGTAGTTTAGTTATTTAGACTCATATAACACAAGTACAACCGTCCAGAAATTGTCTATCGGATAATTGGAACAATGTTGAAAGTTAAACACACGATTAATACTTTTCATTGAAATGTCGACCAAGTAGACATGTAAATGTATTATGTAATAGACGGTGGTAAGTAATGTAAAGGGAATTTGAACTCTAGTCACGACTATTTAATGTTTACCCAACTAGACAACAACGAGGAAGGCTTAATATTATTATGTTATTATTTCAGTTAAAAGTATTTAAAGTATTAATCCAAACGGGTCGTAGGTTAAGAAATGGGTAAATAGTAGAGACTGGCACGAACTTCATTTTTGAAAAGAATTATTATTCTGGCAATTAATTGAAAATGTGTGAATAGGGTTCATGTGGCAAATATAAAGTTTGAATGATAGTTGTAAGGCATAGAATTCACGAGTTTGGTTCAATAGAAGAAAACCCCGTTTTACAATAAGTACAATCCAATTCAACATGTTTATGATTTATTACAGTAGTCTTTAAAACTTCAAAAGGAAAATGTTTTGATTTCACGTAAACACCGTGGCAGAACGATTATAGTTACTGTACCTATTGATTAGGCCTAAATGTTTTTATCTATAAAGTAATGTGTAACACAGTCACCAAGTCCATATAGAACTGCTATTCTTTTGGATCAGATCAAGAGACTTTAAACTCTATATAGTATGTTCGTATGTTAATACTAGAGTCCGTTTACTATTATATTGTTTTGTTATTTCGCCCAATTTAAAACTATTCCAACAAAATATAACTATCTTTTTATCGTCCATCTTTTTATAGCCTACGTATATTTATCGTTTGTGCTCGAGTACTTTACCCCAAAGTAAAGGGCGCGACGTAAAATTTTCCCCAAACTAAGAGAACAAGAGATGTTGACGACATTAGTGCACTCGACCCCAGACAAGAAACTCAGCAAAAATATTCTGAAACTACTATAGAACAATATCTAAATTAAATGGTAATAATTAATATGAATGACATCAAACTAGTTTGCAAATGATAGAAAAATGCCGATTTCGTAATGAAAGCGTAATACATAACACACAGGAGTTAAGAGTAAACATAGTGATTATTATGTTGTCTGTTGATATTTCTACTCTTTCTGTAGTAATGCATAAATCTATTTAGAACATCCCGCACGCCTGATTCAACTTGATAATTAAACATATATCGTTTGGAGTTCGAAAGTACATCAACAACCGATTGTTTTGCCATTTCTCGTCCGTCAAATGTTCAGGTAACAATTGACAGTAGTTATCGGTATTCTACCATTCAAATAGGCCTGAAATACGTTTAATCGACATCAGTGCACTCTGTACGTCACCGAACACGAAACACAACAAAAGAAGCTAAATATTATAAAATAAGAAGTGTTTCTGCATGGTTGCCAAACTACAAAAACATAAAGAAAAGTGTTCAATCCGTATTCAGTATCGATGACAAAGCTAAAACTAATTAATAAACTCCACTTATGATCTGCCAAGGAAAAATTATATTAGTGCCACGTTTACATACAACATAACACATAAACCTATTTCCTTTTATGAGATTGTATGCGTTTACAGTATAATGCACTGTGCCAAACCACTGTCCACACGAATAACATACGAAGATAGCTTCTGGTTGTTGTTGAGTGCAGCACACAATTCTCGGATCATGGATTGCACTCTAGCTGCTATAAAAACCCCATTAAGTGTCCATCATTTGCCTAAAGTGTGAGCCTTGGAAGGCCTAGAATCTAGATTCCCAATCAGTAATCAATAATTTGTACTTGCACGGCTACTTAAACCACTTCACTGGCGGTTGACATTCAAGCGTGTATGTTGACGTCGTAGAAACAGCTGAGAGAAGTGTGTTTCAACAATATAACACAACACACATCGTTGGTTTGATATGTAAACGATAGCTTGTTCTCTGCAAATTGTTACCCGAAGATTAAACGTATCACAGAAAATTTGATTCCTTCATGGGAGGGAGTAAACAGTTGACAACGACGCACTTGTCGCTTGAGCGATGCGTTGCCGCCGTTGCGTACATGACACGCACACAAAAACAAGTCAAAATTCAAAAAGATGAAATTGTTACTTGAAGTATCCACAGTGATAAGGCATTGCGCATTAATGTGAGTTTTAATTACATTTCAGCGTAGAATGAATTAAATCTATAAGTATAAAAGAGGATGTTTGTATATATATTTGTTTGTTTGTTTGGCAGTGATAAACTCAGACACCGCTGAACCGATTGCCACGAAACTTAGTACATACGTGTAGAATGTCATGGAATAGGTTTATACACCATCAATTTCGTGATCCGTCCAATCGGCTCCACCCCAGTGGCTCTGTGTAGTTTCCCATGTTAACCTTATAAGAAATGGAATTAATGAATCTTAACAGCTTGACAGCAATTAAACAAGTTGGTTCTGTTCTATGATGTTCAATAGCATTAAAGTTACAAGGATTACCAACAGGGTGCAGCACTATTATTTCTTTTACATTTATGACAACAGCTAATTTTCAACCAAAAGGTGAGTGAGCGTAGCGAACGAACTTCAACCTGGAGGCGAGTTAGCGTAGCGAACGAGCTAACCTGAAGGCAAGTGAGCGCAGCGAACGAGCTCCAACCTAAAGGTGAGTGAGCGTAGTGAACGAGCTCCAACCTAAAGGTGAGTGAGCGTAGCGAACGAACTTCAACCAGGACGTGATTGAGCCATGCGAACGAGATCATCTTGAAAATTAAGAAGTTAAACGGGGCAAAGCCCGCGGGATTATAAATAGTCAAAGGCAAGACAACGTCTGCCGGGTTCAGCTAGTTATATCTCTGAATTTCTTATTCACGTGTCTGGGCATATTTCTGCAAGTTCACTAATGATCGAAACAAATAATCACCTGGCGAGTACGGACTAGCTATCATTTTGGATAGTTTGTTTACATTTCAGGTGTTGATTTGCATAAGCTAGTTTTTATTTGCTATAAATTTCGATTTTTTGTTCACAATGTTCTGATTTTTACTCAAATATATTATGGAGCTTCGGTTTTAATCATAAAAAAGAGGTTAGTTTTAGCATCCATAAACGCGTTAGATTTATTCCCAGTTTTAACATTGGATATAATAAGTACAGTACATAGGTTTGCTGCTACGGGGATGGAAATAGTGTTT